CGGACGTGGAGGCGGTGGGTCTTTCGGCCAACTCCTCACCCGTCATCGAAAATTCACACAGTACCAGTCCAGACCCCCGGGAACACCGACACCCAACCATCYGAACCGCGCCCCTGTCGGTGACCAGATCCCTTTCCCCGCCCCCCTCCCTATCTCCCCRGCCACCAATTCAGAAACAGGCCCAGAAAACTCTCCAAACTACCCATCTACCGTCRCGACAATTTTCTCCTATACCCACTACGCATTTCACAGCGCACTGTTCGCAGTTTCACAATGCAAAAGCCATTCGCAGTTTCAYAGTGCAAAACCCATTCYCAGTTTCACAGTGCAAAGTGTTGACACTCAGACGTGCATGGCTTAGTCTTTGAGACAAGCATATGACTACTGGCAGGATCAACCAGGTAGTGGGTGTGACGAGCAGCCGCAAGGAGCGATGGCCGAGGCGCACGTACGCACGTCACGCCGGACAGCCTACCAAAAGAACGTCGAACAATCGTGGAACGTGCAATSAGCTGCCGAGACGCCGCGAAGTCCGGCTGTTTGAATTGCAGGTGAACTTCCCTCCGTGGGCCATCTCCAACGGCAAGGTATGCACAATCCAACACAGCCCGCCGCACCCGCCCAAGAAATTGGCTGCGAACAGCACCCGTCCACACCACACCCAGAGATCGCAAGTTAACCACACGACCCGCCTGGGTCCACATCCGCCGGTTGCCGCGGGCACAACCAACAGCACTCGACGCAGGCGAAACCCAGTAGACAGAGGACAGTAGCCTTCGAAGCCCACAACAAAAACGTAGCGGAACCACGACGCAACACAATCCATCATGGTGTGCAGCATACCGAGACCACAGGATGGGGGACACGACGGGCACGAGCGGGCTTTCCAAAAGTCTGGCGGATAAGAGGCCCAGCCTCGTCACGCCGTCGGAGGGTGCATCACGCATCCCACAAGTCTCCGCCCTCGCATACGGTAAGCAGTGCATGCATGGCCGAGGCCACCTTTGCCACCGCTAAATGGCGCCGCTCGGACGGCGAAGAGCGCAGAGCGTCCTCGCCAAGTCGTGACAGCCCCTCAACACAAATGGAACGCGCCGTTGTGACTGCGGACACGAAGACGACACCACAACAGAGCCGCAACAGCTCTCCCCGTAACGTACGGGATGATGGTGCCGAAGCTGAGAGCCGGTGACGGGCACCTCCGCCTCCACACCCTGCAAACGACCACCAACAGGACCGCCGTCGACGATCAGGCACCAATCATCACAAGACGATGAGCGAGGGTGAACGCAACGATCCACAACCCGGCACCACGGCATAGGAAAGCCCAGCAGCCGCGACCGCCGCCAACGACGACCGAGCTGTCGTAAATAAACCCTACGAGAGAGACGACCATGGACCCGAACGGCACCGCAAAAATGTTCGCTCGACCACCAAAGCACGACTCGCCCGTCCCTCGCAAACTGGAAACCACCCAAACCGTGTGCAGAGAGTCCCTCGTAACTCGAGTACAGGGTCCCAAAACCCATGCCCGGAACGTTGCTTTCGTCGACTGCAAGGGGGCTGCTAAGCACGCAGGCCCCCTATAAGAGTGCAAACGGGACTCCGAACCGCCAACCACCGACTGTTTGGCACATCCGGAGGGTGCTCACTGAGCCATCCACCGAGGGACCTGCACATGTCCTTTTCCAGCAAGCTGACTGAACAGACCCCAATGGCGATGTCCCCCTCGGGACCTCATCCCTTTCCGATCTCAATAAGACGCCTCTGGACCTTCGATCCTGGGAGACCCCCTTTTCTCCGCGCCGTTCCTACGCCCGAGTGGCAGTGCGCGGTATCTGCTGCCCCCACAAAATTCGACACCTCAAAAGT